GCAGGAAGGAGTTTGAATTCTTAATGCTTCGCGTATCCCCACCCGCCCAAGCAGGAAGGACGCCCAGAGGAACTGGGGAGCATGGCACTGTGGAGATTTCGGGCGGCCTCCATGGTCCAGAGACTCTTTGGATGCCTCTCGGAGTCTCTTGGGACGTCTCTCGGGATCTTGGAGGCCCCTTGGGGCGCCTTGGGGGCCCTTTGGAGGCCTGCTGGGACGACTCGGGGCCCTCTCGGCGGCCTCCAGGCCTCTTTGAGGGCACCTTGGGGGCCTCTCGGGGGCCTCGTGGGGGCCTCGTGGAGTCCTCTTGGGGCTCCCTTGGGTGCCCCTCGGGCGGGCGTGTCTGGAGCCACCTCGGAAAGTATGTCGTGACAGCGTTGACCGTCTAATGGCCCAAACTCGGCTTCGGAGAGGGGGGTGGTGTTCGGACAGCGCGTGGCTCGAGGGGGGGAGGGCCCTAAACAACGTTACAAAAAAGAGCGCCAGATAGCAGAAAAGCATGCCCCCTCTCACCCTCAATCATATATAGTTATACGTATATCTACATTCACACATATATTTATACATATACATAGATACACATTCGTGTATATGAATATATACACACATATACATATATGAAAGAGCGTGTTCTACCGCTGCTGGCGGAAAACGGGGGGGGGTCACTACCGGTTCGAACCCCTCCCCCCCCCCCCCCGGAAAAACGGGGGGGGTCACTACCGGTTCGAACCCCTCCCCCCCCCCCCCTGCTCATCATGAAAAGGGGGGGGGGGTCACTACCGGTTCGAACCCCTCCCCCCCCCCTCGAAAACCGGGGGGGGTCACTACCGGTTCGAACCCCCCCCCCCTCGAAAACCGAGTGGGGGTGCGGACAGTGGTGGGGACGGTGTTGGTGGGGACAGTGGTGAGGGGATAGCGGGACAGTGGTGGGGACAGTGGGACAGTGGGACAGTGGTGGGGACGGTAGTGGTGGGGACAGTGGTGGGGACAATGGTGGGAACAGGGGGGGACAGTGGACAGTGGTGGTGACGGTGGTGGTGGGGACAGTGGTGTGGGGACAATGGGAATGAGGTGGAAACAGTGGGACAGTGGAGGGTACAATGGTGGTGGGGACAGTGGTGAAGGCGGTGGCGAGGACGGCGGTGGGACAATGGGACAGAGGTACAGTGGGGACAGTGGTGGGGACAGTGATGGGAACAGTGTGGGACAGTCTCAGTGGGACAGCAGGAGGAGTCAGTGGGACAGTGGGGACAGTGGGGATAGTCGGGCAGTGGTTGGGGCCGTGGAGACAGTGGGGAGAGTGGAACCGTGGTGGGAACAGTTCTGGGGACAGCGGGGACAGTGCGACAGTGGTGGGGCCACTGGTGGGGACAGTAGGGGCGGTGGTGGAACCAGTGGGGACAGCGGTGGTGAGGACAGTGGTGCTGGGAACACCAGTGGGGGATGTGATGCGGACGGTGGTGGGGACCGGGAGTCGTTTGCTGGCGGTGAGTAGGGGGGGGGGGGGGGGGGGGGTGAACCGGTAGTGACCCCCCCGGTTTTTTTCGGGATCCGGAGGGGGGGGGGGGGGGGAGGGGTTTCGAACCGGTATTGACCCCCCCGTTTTCGAGCGGGAGGGGGGGTGGGGGGGGGGGGGGAGGGGTTAGGGGTGGGGGGGGTTTGCCGAGGGGAGGGGGGGGGGGGGAGGGGTTCCAGCAGGGGGGGGGATTTTCGGAGGGGGGGGGGGACCCCCGGGTTCCGGAGGAAAAGGTTGGCTAATTTTTCATAGTAAAGCGGCGGTGGATCACGCTTGTCACATATGTATATATATATATATATATATATATATATATATACACACAGCGGAGGTTGATAGACCTCCTACCCTGGCGCGTCGATGATCGAATTGGCCGTTTTCGGTTCGCGAGAGGGCGTCGCGGCCGTCATTTTCGCCGGTGCAGGCACGTCGGTTTCGGTTCTGGGCCGCTTGCACGAAAGGGAAGTTGCTCCACCGCCGAATCGTACCCCTACGGCCGCGGGCTGGGCCACCCTGGCAGCAGTCCGGGGGTCTGTGGGAGCAGGGCTCGGGCCTCCCATCCTCGCGCCCCGCGGGGCCCGTCCAAGGCGCTCCGCGCCCCCAGCAGGGCCAGACGTGGCGGAGACGGGAGCCACGGCCTTGGCATCGCTCGGACGTGTGCATTTTTTCTCGGCGAGGACCATCGAGGACCACCCTGGACTAGCCAGCAAATAAAACACGCACGAAACCGAACAATGCACGGGAAATGGACGTCCGAGCGACGGCAAGGAGGGGGTTACCGGGGACGGGCGGACAGAGGGAGGACCAGAGGAGGGGGGGGCGGAGGAGCAGTCGGGGGCCTTGAGACGGGGGTCAATGCAAACGGGGGTCAGCCAGAGCGCCAGATCTTGCAGGATCCTGCGGGGCCAGGCTCCCATGGACCCGGGTCTGGGTGCAGGAGCCTGCAGGATTTTGCAGGATCCTTCGCGTTGGCCCGTGTGTTGGGTGCAGGGTCGTGCAGGATTTCGCAGGACTCTGCAAGGCCAGGCTGACCCGGGTCTGGAGTGACCCGGGTCTGGAGTGACCCGAGGCAGGAGGAGGCTGGGGACGAGGAGCTCTTGCGCGGAGAGGGAGCAGGCGGAGGAGGAGGAGCGGGAGGAGGAGGAGGAGAGGGGCACGGGCGGAGCTGAGGATGCCTTCGCGACGGTCAGCAGGATGAAGGATGCGGACTTCGATGAGGAAGCCGGCCAGGATGAGGGAGACGTTGGCGAGGATGTTCGGGGGAACGCAAGACCCGGGTTTGCCAGGACTCGGGTTCGCCATCGTTTTTTGACGACCGCGCCTCGGATTTTGACGAGGAGGAGTTTCGTGGGATGTCTGCAGCGGGAGGCCTCGTCAAAATGCAGGCTCGGCCTCGTCATTTTTTTGACGACCTCGTCGGGGATTTCCGAGTCCCCCGTACCCGGGTCTTACGTCTCCCCGAGATGTGGGCGGCGGTGCCACTGAGGCCGGGGGGGAGCGATGGCGACGACGGCAGCGATGGTGATGACGATATCGTTCCAGACGCGGGCGCATACGATGGGGATATCAGCGATGATGGTGAGGACGCAGCCCAGTATGCCTGGACAGTCACAGGGACGCCGAAGACGACGGGTGTGAAGATTACGTGGGGACGTTCTACAGAGCTACCAAACCTTTAGACAGCACAGGGCAGCGAAGCTTACAACCCAAAGCAGCGAGAGAACTACCAAACCTTTAGACAGCACACGGCAGCGAAGCTTACAACCCAAAGCAGCGAGCACAGCCGTGATGCCCCGCCGACGGACATCGTCTGGCGGGGCTGAATCCTCCGTTCCACTTGTCATGGGAGGGGGCGCCGTCTCATCACGAAGCTGCCCTCCCTTCCCATGAGTGAGTGCATCAGACCTTCCGCAGGAGGACCCGACGTTCGGAAAGCACTCACGCCACAACCACACTGCTACAAACTTGTAGTAGAACGCCCCCGCGCCCATATACTGTCTGATGAGAGGCGCATGCCCCTCGCAGCCTCCTCCCCCTTCAAACCATCCCCCTCCCCCGCAGAGGGGTCAATATGATTCAGGAGGGGAACAACACATACACAATTAATTGTCGATCCCGAGAGAAATAGGCGAAAATATCGGAAGTGGGGGGGAAGACAAGAACCCATTTGAACATGTGTGAACATATAGGGGAATCCTGTTATGTGTGCGTATTTCTTGTTGTGTGTCCCAGGGCCCCTTCAATGATAAAGATGCGCTGCGTCGGCACTGCGCTCGCGCACAGCCGAGCCGCTGCCAGCAGGGAGCCCTCCGGGCTCTCACGAGGGGGCTCTGCGGCCCCTCGGGGCGCCGCTCCCGTGCCCCCGGGGTCGGGGAGGGCCTGCTCGCGGCCGCGGCTCGCCGCGGCCGGCGAGGCCCCGGGCGCTCCCCGCCTGGGCTTGGCATCGCTCGGACGTGTGCATTTTTTTTCTCGGCGAGGACCATCGAGGACCATCCTGGACCATCGAGCAAAAACAAAAAAGACACGCACGAAGCCGAATCATGCACGGGAAATGGACGCCCGAGCGACGGCAAGTGGGCGGCGCAGAGGAACGTGTCGGAAGCTGGGCGAGGGCTGGGGAATCCGTGGCTGCGAAAACGGTCTTCCCGGAGGGAAGCACACCCGGAATAAAACTCAGCGCGCCAAATAGTAAACGGGCTGCTCCTGGAAGAGTCAAAACAACATCCCCGAGCTCCGTTTTAGCAGCCACGGGTTTGCAAGCCTTTGCCTGGCTTCTGAACGTGTTCGGCTAAGCCGACGGTCGCGCGTAAACTGCCCGCGCAAGGCCTCGTGTAGGCGCCCTAGCTTCCACTGTCGCTTGCCGCGCCGGCGGCCCGCGCACGCGGCGTAGGGTCGCCATGCCATCTCGCGCAAGGCCCGGGCTGTGTTCGTCGCCCACCTGGCGCTCCCCAGGGAAGCACCGTGTCCGTAGACCCGCAACACGCGCGCGCGCGTCCGACGCTGCGCCCGCGCGCCGGCGCGGGCGGATTGCTGCCGCGCAGCTGTCTCGAGCCGCGGTGCCCTGCGCGCTCCACCCCGCGGCCGCGCGGGGAGCCATGGGCAAGCGCAAGCGCGGCGGCGGCAGCGGCGGCTCGGCGTCGGAATCCGAGCCCTGCCCTCGCCGATGCACGATTCGGGCAGCTCGAGGGGCGGCGGGGGTCGGGTTCGGCATGCAGAACGCGCGGCAAACAAACCCGAGCCCTGCCCCCGCCTCCCATCGATTCTGGGAAATCGCTGGCTGGTGTATAGTCAACCCGCATGGGAAGGGTGGGCAACCTTCCCAAGGGTACCCTTGCATCCTCGCCTCCTCGGCCCATCTTTGGCCACTTTCGTTAACCCCCCCCCGCTCGAAAAGCTTCGACGTGGCCTCCCAGGGCCCTTGCATCCTCATTGCGCATCCACTGTACACGGCTTGACTGTACGGGGCTCGGATGTCGCCACCCAGGCGGCGGCGGCGGCGGCGTGACTGCAGCGGCGCCGGCCGCCGCGCCGAGGGCGCCCGAGGCGCCGGCTTGCCCGGAGCTGGACCTGGACCTGGTGCTGCGGACGGTCCGCTGGCTCGCGGCGGCGCCGCCGCCCAAGGGCTCCGCCGCGGAGGCGGCCACCCGCGGCGCGCTGGCGGAGGCCGCGCGGCCGCTGGTGCGCGTTCGGGCTGCCAAGTACGAGGATCGGTCGTGGGTGAACGCCATGTCCTCAGAGGAGGAAAAGGATCCCATACCTCTGCCCTTTCCTCGTTTTCCCCTTTGTGGGCCTCCCTGGGAGGCCCTCGTCGCCACCGCTGGATTCGCCTCGAAATCCTGATCAGAGCGCACCGCGGGAGAGGTCTGGGGAGAAGCGGTATCGGTACATCTCGGTTTCCCCGATGTCCGTATCCGCGGCCTCGCGGGCCAGGTCCTTGGGCCGCGGCCCTGCAGACTGCAGATGCGGGGCGTTCTTGTCGCGGATTCGCGCGGGGCGTAATGCGTGCGGCCGCATATCCGTGGGATCGCGTCCAAGAATCCAGACCGCGAAGGGAAGCAAGTTAGGCCTCCCAGAAGGGGTCCGAGTTGATGGGGTCGGAGGATCGTACCGCATCGGCGATGCATCGGCGATGCGTCTCGGTGAGAAGCCCGATGCTATCCGCACCGACGGCGCCGATGAATCGCCGACGTCGCCGATGCATCGCCGATGCTTTCGATGATGCATCGACGATGCGGTGCAATCCTCCGATCCCTTCTATTCTGACCCCATGTGGGAGGACTTTGATAGGGAACCGAACTCTATAACTCTATACACCGCCGCTTTTTCTGGCCCTGCATTGAAGTTTGCACAGGAAAGCGGATCCTGGTGTATACGGGATTTTGGTGTATACATGTTTTGTTGTTTTTTTCGGGAAACGGAAGCAAAACGTATACACCACACCACCCCGACGTCCGTCCCCGACCCTCGAAGAGTCCTTAGATGGAAAAGCAGCCCGCCACTGGTAATGTATCTGTTCCAGTTTCCGAGTTAAGAAACATACGCTTTCGGAGTCTGGCTCGGACTATTTGGGTCGGCGCTGGGCCCTCCCTGTGGCGGTGCCTCCGGCGCCGCCCTTAGCGCGCTCCGCGTGCCGGGGGGTGGGGTGGGGGCTGCGCCGAGTCAATGGATCCGTGCGGAACTCCGAAACGTTGTTTCCCGACTGCGCTCGCACCTACGGTTTCTTACCTGCCTTCTACGGAACTGTGCCCGTTTGCCGCCCCGGCGGTCTTGTGACCATATGTTGCACGTGCGTTCGGCTGATAAATCTCGGGATTTAGAGCAGCTGCAGAATAGCTTCAGCAGCAGACAATTGTTATTACTAGTTGGCCCGTTTGCCGCCTCGGCGGCCCCGTTCCCACCCGTCGCCGCCGCCCCGTTGCACCGCCCCCCCCTCGGTTGCGTTGCAATCGCAGTGCATTGGAACGGCATTGGCATCGCATTGCTTTGGTTTGCATTGCTGTGCAATCGCATTGGGTCGCATTTCAATCGCATTGCGTTGCTTTGCATTGATGTACACTGCTTTGCATTGCGTCGCGTTGCTCGGCATCGCGTGACATGTTTTTGCATGGTTTGCATTGTTTTACATTGCATGGCATTGTTGTGCAGTCATGTGCATTGATGTGCTTTCCATTGCATTGCTTTGCATTGCTTTGAATTGGTTTGCTTTGCATTGCGTTGCAGTGCGTTGCAGTACGTTGCATGACTTGACATTGATTTGCATTGGTTTGCATTGCTTTGCATTGCTTCGCACCACTTAGACTGCCGTTCGAAGAGTGCACTGCCCTGTGTGGAATGCACCACCTACATTGCACTACATTGATGGCTCCACCTCGATTGGACCGCGTTGATTGCCAGAGATCACTGTTTGGAGTTCACGCTGGCTCACAGATGTTTATGTAGCTGCCCTTCCTGTGCAGGAGGACGCTCAGGCGGTGAAGGTTGCGAAGGCAGCGGGTGGCGGTCACCTTCTGGGTGCAGGCAAGAAGCGGCAGGTCTTCGGCTCCGTGGACGCCGGCGCGGCAGGTGGCGCGGTGGTACCTCCGGCGGACACGGAGGTTGGCGGCGCTGCTCTGGCGATGATGACGCTGGCGGCCAAGCCCGAGGTCTTGGCATCGCCGGCCTGCAAGCCTCTCCGGGCAGCGCTGCACCCTCTCGTGGAGGCCCACCTGCAGGAGGAGAAGGCCTCGCCCGCCTTCCGGGTCACCTGCATGCTCGCCCTCCGCGGCCGCTGGGGTGAGGCCCTGAAGCTGCTCGCCGAGATGCGGAGGGCAGACGTGCCCAGGCGGCCCAAGCTGGGAGCGTACCAGCGGTGGGTCCGCGAGCTGAACGTCGCCTCCGGCGACGCCAGGGAGCTGCTCATGCTGGATGCCATCATGCGCCTGGCAGGAGACTGTTTTTTTGGTGGGGGTCCGGCGAGCCACTGGCCTCGTCGGCCGCCCGCCCGCCCTCCCCCCCCCGCCTCCCCGGGTGGTCTGGCCTCGTCGGTTGCGCAGGCCCGAAGGGGGGGCGCAGCACTGGTGCGCGCGGCGCGCGGGCATACGCGGGGCTGCCCAGCGCGAAGCGATTCTGTCGGCCAGCACTCCACTGCACCACCCAACCGCACAGAAAGAAAGCGATCCCCAGCGGGCGTGCCTCCCGCAGCGGCGCCCGCGCCCGCGGAGGGGACGCTGGAGCTGCACGAGCCCTGGCGGCCCGCGATGGACGCGGGAGCTCCCAGCGCAGCTGCAGCGCCGGCGGCGTCTGGGCAGCCATGCGGCGCCGGCAGCGAGGGCGCGGCGAAACCGCAGGAGTCCGGAGGAAGACGTACCGATACCGTTGTCTTTCTATATCGACGGCGAGCGACGGGTGGAAGTGAAAATGAGGAGGCCTTCTCATGAGGCGGCGGCCCTTCTCAGAAGCCCCCGCGCCTTCTCAGCAGTTTGCTGCGTCTTCGGGGAAGGCTTGGAGAACTGCTCGACAGGCCGGGGTGCTTACGAGCCTGCTGAGAGCGGCCGCCCCGTCTCATTTTCTTGCCGGCTCGCCGCCCACAGGAGGAAGACACATCGATTGCGTTGTTGTGCTAGACTCTCCCTCATCAAATCTGCACGCGGGTGGGACCGCGAGGGTCTCTAGGGGCTCCTGGGCAACCCGGTGCGCGCAAAAGGGCTGAGTCCAGTCGGGCGTACAGGCCAGTGTACGATCATCGAGCTCCTTGGCAGGTGAGTAGCCATGCCGCCCTCGTGCGCAACGCCGTGCAGACATACAGGAAGCAATGAAATCCTGGAGAGCCCTCGTCGCCACGCCTGGATTCGCCTCGACATGCTGCATCGCCGATGCGTTAGTGAGGGGGCCGTCTACAGGAAGGGGGGGCCACCCAAAAACGCTAACAGCCAGGCCGGGGGGCACAACTAAAATGTAATATTCAAAATTACGTTTTTGTCCGAAGGCATGGTTTGGAAAATCCAGAATTATGGTTTGTTGTTGTTTTTGCCCTGAAGGGCTGTGTGTGCTTGAATTCAGAAATCGCGATTTTATTGTGGGAAGGCTTCGCCTCTTTCGCCCTTTCTGGAAGTGTTGTTGCACGATGAACGCCACGTGCGAAACATGTTTGTGGGGCTTTTCGTGTGTAGTTTCATTGGCGGTTGGATGCGTAGTTGGTTTCGTTACTGTTCGTATCCATCACGGTCCACCCAGCAATAGTACCCAGGCGAAATGTCTTGATCAGGGAAGTGCGGGAACATTCCGTGTAACGAAGAGAAATTGATGGGGAAGCCGTCAAACTGAATTTCGTGGGTCAGCCTGGGCACGCCCGGGTGCGAATGCACATTCGCGGCCCTTGCCGAAACAGGCAGGGCGCAGAAGAATGATGAGGAGGCGGGGGAGGGGGAGGCGGGGGGGGGGAACACGAGGAGGACGAGGACTAAAAGGAAGAAGGGGGGAGCGACGGGAGAAGCAGGAAAGGGGCGAGCAGAAGTATGATGACATTGACTGCGCAAGCTTTGGGGGGGAGGAGGAGGAAGAGGAGGGGGGGGAGAAGGAGGAGGGGGATGAGGAGGAGGAGGAGGAGGAAAGGAGGAGAAAGAGGAGGAGGATTGGGCGAGGAAGAGGAGGAGGAGGAAAGGAGGAGGAGGAGGAGGAGGAGGAGGAGGAGGAGGACGAGCGTACAACGCGCACGCGCGCGTGCGCGCGAGGTGTGATTTCTGCATTGTTCTCAGCGGTCTGGCAACGAAGGGGCCTGGAAACGAAGGGGTTCTTGGGCGGTGACCGAATGGGTGTTCCAGGTAGCGCGGGGCTGCAGCGCGCCAGCCAAGTGGCTCAGCGCGCAGCGCGCCCGCGCGCGCGCGCGCCGGCGCGAGCTGTGAATTCTGTATCACTTATAATAGAAGTGCCGCAATGTTGGCATGGAAGCTCAAGTGGTCCCCTGGCGGAGACCGATTGGATTTCCGATTTACCATGGGTTTGTAGCGCGTCGGTGAAGTGGCTCAGCGCGCAACGCGCCCACGCGCGCGCGCGGCGCGAGCTGTGAATTCTGTGTTATCCACAAAGAAGGGCAGTCGTGCTGTCCTGGAAACTAAAGTGGCCCCCCAGCGGTGACCGACTGGATTGTCAAATTGACATGGGGACGTAGCATGTCGGCCAAGTGGCTCAGCGCACAAGTCGCCCGCGCGCGCGGGAGCGAGCCGCCACTCTGCGTTATCCAGAACAGAAGGGCCGCCATGGTGGCTTGGGAGTTCAAGCAGCCCCTTAGTGGTGGCCGATTTCTTTTTTCCAATTTAACATGGGCTTCTAGCATGTCGGCCAAGTGTCTCAGCGCACAGCGCGCCCACGCGCGCGCGAGCTGTGAGTTCTACCCGCAATAGCAGGGCCGCCATGCTGGCCTGGGAAATCAAGCGGCCCATTAGCGGTGACCGATTGAATATCCGAGATAGCTCGAGTTTGTAGCGTTTTGGTTAAATGGTTCAGCGTACAACGGGCCCACGCGCGCGCGCCCGCTTGCGCTCGCGCGCGCGAGCTGTGAATTCTGTATCACCAACACTAGAATGGCCGCCATGTTTGCTTAGAAACTTAAGTGGCCCCTTAGCAGTGACAGACGGACTTCCAAGTTAGCAAAAGGTCGTAGCATGCCGGTTAAGTTGTGCAGCGTACAGAGCGCCCGCGCCTGTGCGCGCAGGCGCGAGCTGTGAACCCTGTATTCTCCGCAATGCAAATACCGCCACGTTGGCCTGAGAACTCAAGTGGCCCCTTAGCGGTGGCCGATGGTATTTTCCATGTTTAACATGGGCTTGTAGCATGTCGGCCAAGTTGCCCAGCGTACAAGGCGCCTCGCGCGCGCGCCCGCGCGCGCGCGCGAGTTGTGAATTTTCGTGCTACCCGCAGTAGAAGGGCCGCCATGTTGGCCTGCACACTCAAGTAGCCCCTTTGTGGTGGCTTCCAGCATGTCAGCCAAGTGGCTCAGCGCGCAACGCGCCCGCGCGCGCGCGCGGGCGCGAGCTGCGAACCCTGATCCAAAGTAGAAGGGCCGCCGCGTTGGCTTGGAACCCCGGATTGATTTCCAGGTTAGCACTGGTTTGTGGCACATTGGCCAAGTGGTCCAGCGCTCAACGCACCCACCCGCGCGCGCGCGAGTTACTTGGTTACCCATAATGGAAGGGCCGCCACGATTGCCTGGAAACTGAAGTGCAATCCTATCGTTGGCTGATTCGATTTCCGAGTAACCATGAGTTCGCAGCGTGCCGATTAAGCTGTAAATTCTTTATTGCACGCCATAGAGTGGCCGTCATGTTGGCCTGGAAGCCATAGTGGCCCCTTAGCGGTGGCCGATTGGTTTTCCCAGTTTACCTAGGGTTGCCGCATGTCGGCCAAGTTGCTCAGCGTACAACGCACCCGCGCGCACGCGCGGGCGCGAGTTGTGACCTCTGCATCGCTCACAACAGAAGGGCCGCCGTATTGGCTTGGAAACGCAAGTGGCTCTCTAGCGATGGCCGACTGGATTTTCAATTTAACATGGGGTTGTAGCATGTCGCACAAGTGGCTCAGCGTAAAGGACGCCCACGCGCGCGCGCGAGCAGTGACTTACGAACTATCCACACCAGAAGGGCCGCTATGTTTGCTTGGAAACTAAAAGTTGCCCGTTGCGGTAGAAGATTGAATATCCTAGTTAGCATGTGGTTGTGCCATGTTGGCCAAGTAGCTCAGCGTACAACGCGCCCGCGCGCGCGGGCGCGAGCTGTGAACTCTGTATCATCCACGACAGAGGACCGCCGTGCTGGCCTGGCAATTCAAGCGGCCCCGTGGCGGTGGCCGAATGGATTTCCAAGTTAACATGGGGTTGTTGCATGTCGGCCAAGTGGCTCAGCGCACAACGCGCGCACGCGCGCGCGCGGGCTGTGCATCCTGCACTACCCAGAATAGAAGGGCCGCTGTCTCCTGGAAACTCATGTGGCCCCTGAGCGGTGACCGATTGGAATTCCGAGTTCACATGGGCTTGTAGCATGTGGCTGAACGCACATAGCGCCCGCGCGCGCGCGCCCCCCCCCCCGGCGCGTGCGAGCTCTGAAAGCCGTACTACCCGCAATATCGGGTCCTTTATTTTGGCATGGAAGCTCAAGTGGCCCCTCCGCAGTAACCGATTGAACTTCAGAGTTAACATGGGGGTTGTCGCGTATCGGCCAGGTGGCTCAGCGTACACGTCGCCCACGCGCGCGCTAGCTGTGAACTCTTTATTTTTTCCACCGTACAACGGCCACCATGTTGGCATGGAAAATCTAATTGGCCAATTAACGGTGACTGATTGTATTCCGAGTTAACATGGGCTTGTAGCATGTCGGTCACGTGGCTTAGCGTACAACGCGCCCGCGCGCGCGAGATGTGACTTCTGGGCTACCCACATTAAAAAAAGGGCCGCCTGGCCTGGAAACTCAAATGGCCCCTTAGCGGTGACCGATTGGATTTCGAAGTTAGCATGAGTTTGTAGCGCGTCGGTTACGTGGCTCGATTTACAAAGCGCCACCGCGCGCGCGCGCCCGCGACCGCGCGAGCGCGAGTCGTGAATCTTGGGTTACCCACAAAAGAAGGGCCGCCGTGTTGGCCTGTGAACGAAGGTGGCCCTGAGAGGTGACCGACTGCATCTCCAAGTTAACATGTGGTTGGAGCATGTCGACCATGTGGCTGAGCGCGCAACGCGCCCACGCGCGCGCGGGCGCCAGCTGTGAATTCTGTTGTGCCCACAATAGACGGGCCGCTATGTTTGCCTGGAAACTCAAGCGGCCCCTTCAGCGGTGGCCGAATGGATTTCCAAGTTAACATGGGGTTGTAGCACGTCGGCCAAGTGGCTCAGCGTACTACGCGCGCGCGCGGGCGCGAGCTGTGCATTCGGCGCGCGGCGGCCGCGGGCCTTTCTGCGTGGGAAATAAACGCAATATGCGATCGCGGAAATGCAGCCACACGCACTGTGGCCTGGGCCACTACGTAGGTAGGCGAACATACGGTTGCAAGGGGCAATGCCGCCGCGCGTTAGGGCGGGACACCATATTATGCGCGAGGGGAAAGCGCCGAGGCCATGTGCGGCCCGTGTTCAGCGCAGCCCGGTCGCCCCCGGCCTGGGGCCTGGCCCGGCAAGCAGCCCTGCCCACCCTGACCGGTACCCAGCGGGCTGGCCCCTCGCCCACCCAATAGCTCGGCTGGTGACCGGCCGGTAGCCCGGCCAGTAAGTCCGCGAACGCGGCGGGCAACCCTGCCGGTAATTCCACGAACCCGGCCGGTAACCCTGCCGGTAATTCTTCGAACCCGGCCGGTGACCCGGCCCGGCCGGTAACCCGGCTGGTAGCCCGGCTGTTAACTGCGTGCCTGGCCGGTAACCCGGCTGTTAGCCCCAGCCCGGCTGGTCACCCGGCTGGTAACCCGGCTGGTAGCCCGGCTGTTAACTGCGCGCCCGGCCGGTAACCCGGCTGTTAGCCCCAGCCCGGCTGGTAACCCGGCTGGTAACCCGGCTGGTAACCCGGCTGTTAACTCCCAGCCCGGCCGGTAACCCGGCCGGTAGCCCGGCTGGTAGCCCGGCCCTTAGCTTGGCCTTGCAGCGCATTCTGTAGCGGAGCTACAGCGCCGCTACAGAACGCCGCAGACGGCCGGCCCTTTGCCTGGCCGGCAGCCCGGCTGCAACTCCGCGCACCCGGCCGGTAGCCCGGCTGTTAATTCCCGCGCGCCCGGCTGGTAACTCCGCGCACCCGGCCGGTAATTCGGCGATTTTGGTTGGTGCTGGCGTAGCGACTTCGGTTTAGCAAAGTAGAGTGCCTTATCACACTTATAGATGTAGCTGTCTCAGATGCAAATGTACTTACCGAAGCCGCAACTATACTTACACGGTGTCCCTAACCATACTTACACAACAATTTATAATCGACATATAACCATCTTATAACTTTCATAACTTTCATAACTTCTTCAATTTCCATGCCCCTCCCCTCCCCTCCCCCCCTGTGGTTCGGTAGTGAGCCAGTAGGACGGCGAGAAGAAAGGAGGGGGGAAGGAGGAGGACAGCGATGCATTCGCTAACGCATTCCTGGGTATGAGCGATAAATTCGCTATGTGGTTCTCTGAGCGATCAATTCGCTGTGCAATTATCTGAGCGATCAATTCGCTATAAGCGATGAATTCGCTATGTGGTTCTCTGAGCGATCAATTCGCTGTGCAATTATCTGAGCGATCAATTCGCTATAAGCGATGAATTCGCTATGAGGCCCCTGCCCATGCCGCCCCCACTGCGCCATCATTCGAAGCCGTTTGCATACGCAAGCCCGCGCGTTTTGTTTTGGGTGGGTGGGGCCGCATAGCCATGGCTGCCCAGCGCTTGCGCGACCAAGTCGAGGCCGTCGGGCGATTGCTCGAGGCAGTGCAAGGGCAGCCCTGTTTCGATACGGTGGCGGCCGCGCAGGAAAGGATGCTCGTGCAGGCTTTCGGGAGCGCGAGGCTGCAGCCCACGCAGGTGACAACCCTCTCGTCTCTCGTCGCAGCGCAACCCTGGTCCGAGGTTTCCAAGGGGAGGCTGTTGGAGAAGCTCGGCAGCATCGTGGCTTCTGGCAGCGCCGTGGGTTTGCGAATGGCTCAGCAGGATTATGAGTGCATCTTCGGGTACCTGACAGCGGGCTCGTGGCACCAGTTGGCGCGGACCGACGTGCCCGAGGAAGCGAAGCTCAACGTGCTGGTTGATGTTGCGATTAGCTTAGGTCTTCGCAACCCGACCGAAGGCACGTATCAGATGTTGACGGCGATGTGGCGCATGGCCGTGGACGGAGCCGAGACCGCGAAGAATTTGGCGCGGGCTGCAAAGTACTCGTACCTCCAGCAGACCAAGCGCGTGTTCAAGCGCCAGGCTGCAGCTGAAATTGCGGCCCTCGTCGAGGGGAGGGGGACCTAGGAGAAGGGAGGGTGGGGGAGGAGGAGGAGGAGGGGGAGGAGGAGGAGGAGGCAGTTTCCCCTGGCCGCAATTTCACCCACGAAGGTTTCGAGGCTTCCTGCGCCCCCCGTTCGGCTGACCGAGCTGCCTACGTCCCCCTCGACGTTCTGCGAGGACCACCCTGGCTTCTTCAAGCAAGTGTATGGCGACGAGTTGCCAGCTGCATGCCCCGCGCCAGAAGCCGCGATTCGCTCCGTCCAGGCTACGTACCCATGCCGCAACACAAAGCAGCAGGCCACGGGGGCGCAGATGATGAGCGCCTCGGCGTCGCAGCCCGACGTTTTGCAGATGATGCAGCTCATGTTCGATAACTTGCGGCGGGCGGACGTCGGCGCTCAGACGGGCCCTTTGAACCTCAAGATCCTGGGAGGCGGCGCGAAACGTGCCGCGGCCTCGGCGTTCGCAGCCGTGGAGGACGCTGCCCCGAGTTCTCTTCCATCTTCCGCCTCAGAAGGGGCACCGTCGCCAGCAGCGCCAACGCCACCGTCGCCAGGGACGCCTGCAGCAGCCAGCGTCGCCAAAAAGAACGTGACTCCCCCCAAGAAGGAGGACGTCGCCTCGGTCACCGAGGACATCCTGCACGGACTCGTGGCCAAGGAGAAGGGGGGGGGGGCCGAAGCCGAAGGCAAAGGGGAAGGCAAAGGGGAAGGCGAAAGCAAAGGCGACGAAGGCTGGGGCTAAGACGACGGGCGAAGGCCACGGGAAGGGCGTCACCGTGTCACCCCTGTTCAAGCCCATCAAGAAGCTCGGGTGTTCGAAGTGTCGTTACGCCAAAAAGGGGTGCTCGAGTTGCAAAGAGCGGCTCAGGATTTCAAAGCTGCTGGGTAAGTAGCTCATAATGTGTGTAGGTTTCCTGAGGCGCTCTCGGCCGCGCTGGGTCCGCCACGCACTTTGCCAGATGTATTTCGGCCTGAGCCGTGCCACACGCCGCGCGCTCATAGTCATGCTACGGTGTTTCGGACAGAGCGTCCAATGCATTTCGCTACCGCGCTTCTGTATATGGGGCCCTGGAGAGCGCATCCTAGCGTTTGGGTAAGCCGCGCGAGCGCCCCAGGGAACCCTGCCGCTCACTTTTACTCTTGTGAGGGCGTGCCTTACCGTTGCCTGCGATGACAAAAAAAAAAAAAACAGCGATCCACTCGCTAAGCGATTCATTCGCTTGGGGATAGACAGGGTGAGAGGGGTGAGAGGGGGGAGTGATGGACCGCTGACTTGGAGAGGGGTAGGAGGGGTGAGAGGGGTGAGAGGGGTGAGAGGGGAGAGGGAAGAGAGGAGGGTGAGAGGGGAGAGTTATGGATGAGGCCTCGACCCCTCAAGCCAACCCCCAACCCTGCGTCAGCGATGCATTCGCTTTCCTCCGACCTCCCATCGAAGCAGCGCTCCCTTCACCTCAACCCTGTGTCAGCGATGCATTCGCTTGCTCGCGGAGCGCCCCTGCGACCGTGCCTTCGCATTGCCATTTCGGCTCAAGGCCTCGGCTCAAGGCCTCGGCGGCCGCGCCAGCGACAATGGCCGACGACGCGGAGAGGTCACTGCAATCGTTGCTGTCTTTGGGCGACCCCTTTGCGCAGTTCCAGGATGGGGCCCAGGAGAGCGGGGGCGCTGGCAACGAATCGCGCATGAATCCAACCTCAAACTCAGAGCCCCGCATGAGTCCCATCTCAGACTCAGAGTCCGAGGGGCGGAGCGCCGCCGACAAGGGCAAAGGCTGCAAGGGCGGGTGGCGCGCCAGCGGCAAGGGCGAGCCCGACAGCGACGGCGACGCGGAGAACCCGAGGCGCAAGCAAGCGAGGATGACCTTCCTGTGGAACACCCCGCAGGCTCTCAAGGACGAGGAGGACATGGCAAAGCAGTTCGCCGTGCCATGGGCCATGCGCGGCCCGCCTCCTCCAAGCGAGGGGGGGCCGACGATGTGGCGCGGCAACAGATGGTCAGAAGGCGAGCGGCGTTGGAAGAAACGCGGTGGCACGTCCAGGGAGTTCTTCGAGGAGAAGTACGGCTACGGCGGCTGGGGCTGGCAAGCAGGCCACGTGCCGAAGCGGCCTTCGGACTACAAGGGCATGGGCGGCGGCAAGGGCGCCTCTTCCAGGAGCGGCAAAGGCCAGGAGCAGAGCAAGGGCGGCGCCTTCTCCGAGCGCAGCAAGGGCGGCAAGGACGGCAAGGGCAGCAAGGGCAGCGCCCCCGAAGGCACGCGGGCGCCGCGGGCGCAGGCCGCCTGGGACCCTCATGACCTCGAGGACATTTGAGAAAAAAAAAACAGCGATTGACTCGCTATGCAGTTCACAAGCGATTGAATCGCTATGCAGGTCACCTCTCTCGTCTATCTCTCCTCTCTTCGTCGCGATCCAGGCCAAAATCCCCACGCCGCCCTCCGCCGCGATCCAGGCCAAAATCTCCGCGGCGATCCACGCCACGGGCGCCGTTCGTAGGTCAAAATCTCCGCAGCGACCCAGGCCACAATCTCTGGTCTCAGTTTTTGGGCGGGCCCTTTAGGAATTTACTGACGCCAAAAATGGGTCCCAGATTTGGCGGTCCCTTCGTGGGATGTTATTGACGCAATGAAGGCCCCCAGATTTGGCGAGCCCCTCGTGGGAAGTTACTGGCGCAAAGAAGTGCCCCAGATGCGGCGGGCCGTTCTCCCCCCCCTTCGGTCGCCTCGGCTTGCTCGACCTCCTCGCTCAGCCCCCATTCGATGCGTCGGCATCCTTGCACCCCTGCCCGTTGCATTTCCTCTCAGCGATTGCATTCGCTCCATGGGGCGGGCCGCGCGAGTAGTCATCTGCATTCGTCTGGGCTCAATCTGTTTAGAACGGTTTTCTTTCTCAGCGGCCAAGGGCCAAGGCGCGCTCGGCGGGCAGCGATGGATGGGCCGTCGGAGGCCGCGAGTTCCAGCGGGAGTGAATGGCTGTGGCGCGGCTTTTGCCCTCGCGGCGATTGCAAGAAAGCTGGCTCGTGCATCTTCTCGGACCCTGACAGGGACATCGTGAAGGAAAAGGTGGCGAACCACTTGTGGTGTTCTACCTACCACAACGAGGACAACGCCCTCGAGTGGGAGGCGGCGTTGCAGGAGGCAGACAATGACGCGTTCATTGTCTACGAGCTGGGCACGCAGAAGAGCAAGAAGCGCCCCGCGCCATCCGTGGAACCGCAGCCAGGGCGGGCCGTTCAACAGCGGTCTTCAGGACCAGTCGGCCAGTACAAGTCGAAGACAGTGGTGACGCGGGACATCACGGTGCGCAAGGGCGAGCTGCAGCAGGTCATGGATTGCCTTGACAGGTCTCTGACTGCGACGGAGCACGCCGCGACCATCGCACGCAGCGCAGCGAAGGCGTTCGAGGACAGCGCTGCTGCGATCTCGGGCGCCAAGAAGACGCTCGAGAGCATCTGCATGCGCCACGTGGGCTGAGCCACTCCAAGACGCGGCCTGCTGCCCTGCGCTCGGCCTGTCTCGGGAGCCCGCCGATTCTTTGAACAAATAATAGCACCCTCGTGACCCAACTTGAGCGATCGAATCGCTGGCTCTTCCTCGAAACCCCATTTGAGCGATCGAATCGCTGGCTCCTCTTCAGCCCGCCCATGCGCGACCCGCCAAGATGAGAGGGGAGAGGAGGAGGGGGGGGGAGGAGAAAGTAAAGAGGAGGGTTGAGAGAGGATGAGGATGAAGAAGAGTAGGAGGAGGAGAAGGAGGAGAAAAACCGAGAAGGACAGATCAGAGAGAAAAGGACAAGGCCCGAGAGGGAGCGTCAATATTCGTTACAATTTTGACGCTCGTTTCTGGTGTGGTTTCGGATACCGCATGCCCACCCACCCTCCAAGCCCTACGGCGATTGGTGGTCCAACGGTGGTCCAACGGTGGTCCAACGTGGGTGGTCCAACAGAAGGTGGTCCAACGTGGTCCAACGGTGGTCCAACGGTGGTCCAACGGTGGTCCAACAGGGGTCCAACGCGTTGGACCACCGTGGTCCAACGGTGGTCCAACGGGGGTCCAACGTGGGTGGTCCAACGGTGGTCCAACGTGACGTCGCCATCCGTGGTTTGCGCTTTTCTGTTTGGATGGGGGCGGGGGGGGCGAGAGAGCGAGGATCGCTGAGACCTTGTTTCGCTTGCTGAGGTTAGCGATACACTCGCTCAGACAAGCGATTCACTCGCTCAGACTAGCGATACACTCGCTCAGACAAGCGATTCACTCGCTCAGACAAGCGATTCACTCGCTCAGACGCGCTCCCGAGCTCACGACCCCACTGCGCCTTGCTGCAGCCACTCTGGGCTCAAAGCAGCGCTTCCTGCTCTCGGGTCGCTCGGGAGCGCTCGCGCAACCGAGGTATGGACGAGCCTGCGGCGTGCCTGCTGCAGCAGATGTCGGCTGCCGCCCCGCCGCGCGTCTCCGCCCCGCCCAAGCGCGTGGAGGTCAAGAAGCAGCGCTCGCTGTTCGAGTTCTCCGTCGTGGCTTCGGCGGCCCGCGCGGGGCAGCTAGACGACGTCAAACAGGAACCCCCCGAGGAGCCAGAGGAAACCCCCGAGGGAGAGCCAGTGACACTTGCCGAAGAGCTAGGGATGGCCCCAGAGGATGCCGCCGAAGTGGCCGCTCACGGCGCCAGCCGCGCAGGCAAGGCCAAGCGCCCTCCCAAGAAGGCCAGGGTCAGGGCAGCCAAGGCAGTGGCAGGCCTTGCGCCCGAGGAGGACGACTGGTCCTGGGAGTGGGGGCCCGAACCCGAACACCTTGACGAAGGAGGCGACCGCGGCGGCGCGGCTGCGCCCGCAGTTGAGGAGAAGAAGGGGGGCAAGAAGAGGAGGGCCTCCGAAGGCGCCGAAGGCTGGCCAGCCGACGCCGACGGCGACGGCGCCGACGCAGACGAGGCCGGGACTGGCGGAGACGACGGCGCCGAGGGCGCCGACTACGGCGTCAGCGGCGAGGACGGCGAGAAGGCCAAGAAAAAGAAGAAGGGGAAGAACAAGGGGAAGCGCTCCAAGACCGCCAAAAAGAAACGCAAGAAACCGGCCGCGCCGAGGAGCTCGGAGGTCCCGACAGAACCCGCCGAGGTCCAGCCACCGTGCGCCGCTGCCCCTGATCAGACGGCTATCGACGCGGTGCCGCGCTTCGATCGCAACCCCGTTTGCACCAAGTGCAAGAAGCCCGTGGAGCCGCTCGCAGCAAGGATTGTAGGCAAGAAAAGGAATGTTTGGCAGTGCTCAACGTGCAGTTCGCGGCACACTCAGCTCCACAGGATTTTCGGAGGATGGCCGCCACAATCCTTCAAGTCGCTTTCACAGGAAGAGAAAGATACTTTTTGGAACGACGTCAAGGAGGCGAACGGGAAGGCAGAGGTCGAGAAGATTGCGGTGGAAACGTTCACGAGGGTATACCGCGAGAGCCGCGCCTCAGGCAGGCAGGGGAAATACCTCCCACTCAGCGTCTACAAGAAGAAGGGCTACTCCGCAAAGAGGATTAAGAGGCTGTGCAAAGACAAGAAACAAGATGATGTCCTCGGCACGCTCTACTGCGTGAACATTGATTACAAGGACGACAAAAGCGTCGAGGAAGAGGTCCGCCAGTCCCTGACCGCCGCAAAGGAGCGCACCGCCAGCCCGCAGCAGCACCAAGGCAAGAACAAAGGCAAAGGCAAGGGAAAGGAGCAACTCGCGCCAACCTCAGCCACCAAGAAGATGATGAGCGACGCCGTCAAGATCCTGGCCAAGGTGAGCCCGCTCGCTTTCAAGGCAAAAGGGTTGTTGAACAACCCCAAGGCAAGCAAGCTGCACAAGGACCACAGCAAGGCCCTGGCGTGGCACATCAAGGACCTCGACGCTCTCGCGGCCGCGGCCCAGGATACCCTGTCCAAGAACGCCGTGCTGTCCATTCAGCTTGCGACGGTGAAGGAGAAGGCAGACGCGGCTGAGAAGAAGTGCGCGCAGGCGGAGACGGCGCTCAGCACTTTCGACGACTGAGGCTCCCCTGCGGGAGGAGAGGGGAAGTGCAGCAACGAGCATGCTGCGCGAGTGACCGCCTCTTGACATCTCTCGGGCTGAGATGCGGCGTCGGAGAAAAAAATCATTCATTCCGTTAGCGATTCACTCGCTCATTTCGTTAGCGATTCAATCGCTCATTTCGTTAGCGATTCACTCGCTGATTTCGTTAGCGATTCAATCGCTCATTTCGTTAGCGATTCAATCGCTCATTTCGTTAGCGATTCACTCGCTGATTTCGTTAGCGATTCAATCGCTCATTTCGTTAGCGATTCACTCGCTATGAAGCGGCGCCCTCTCTCGGAAGCGATTGAATCGCTCGGCGCGACGGCTTGCACCCTTCACCTGCTTTACATTCAGCGCTTGGGCTCAGGAGTGCCCGAGTCCCGCGCCCCAGCGCCCGCGTGGCCATCATGGGTAAGCAAGTTCTCGAGAAGCGCCGCCGCCTTGGGAGGCTGGTGACCATTCCAGGCGTGACGTGCGCTGGTTTGTGCGAGGTCCTCCGCCGACTGAGGCAAGCGCCCATCGAAGAGGAGGTCTCTGCGCATGAGGCCAAGGCCGCCGCGAAGATGGAGTGCGATAGAGAGATGTCGTGTTCTCTGGAATTGCCGCTGTGCGACGGCGGGTCCTTTGAGTGGCACATTGCAAGGACGTCGCGGGGCGCGCCAAGCAGCGCGTCTTTCTTGGGCCGCAAAAAATCAACAACGGCATCTGGATTTTTTTCTGGTGCCAGTTTTCTCCTCTCCCCCTGCCCCTTCCCCCCCTCCACCCATTCCCCCCTTCCCCCTTCCCCCCCCCCCCCCAGGGCGGGAGGGGGTGGTGCAGGGGGTTCGCGGCGCGCCTGCTTGGCGCATCCCGCTGAGGCCTGCCCGCTTGGTTCAACGGTTAGTCGAGGTGTCCCCAGCGCTGAAGCGCATGTTCGCGGCCGCGCCTATCACCCCAGCAAGGCCGTGGAACGTGATCCTTGCGCACGACGAGGTCACGCCTGGAGCTGTGCTGCGACCGCATAACCGCAGGAAGTTCGTTGCATTTTACATTTCGTTTCTAGAATTCAAGCATGCCCTTCGGCACGATTGCTGTTGGTTCCCCCTGGGCGTGATCAGGTCGGCACAAGTGGAGAAAATTCGCGGTGGCCTCTCGGGCACGATCAAGTCGTTGCTGCGTCGCTTGCTTCTTGAGGACGGCAATCTCGTGGATGGCGTGGCCTTGCCGCTACAGGGCGGGCCGACAATGTTCTTCGCGAAATTTGCCGTACACTTGGGAGACGAGGTCGCTTTGTCCAGGGGCCTCGGCGTGAAAGGATCTGCAGGGATCCGACCGTGTCTGAAGTGCGCCAACGTGCTCAAGAAAGGCTCAGGCATTGCTGGCGCTGGCGCCGCGCCCAATCGGTTGGTGGAAATCACATGCAGGGACCGCAGCGCATTCATTTGTAATTCTGACGAGGCCGTATGGGGAGCCCACGACGAGTTGACGCACTTACAAGGGACAATATCGAAAGCCGCATTTGTGCGCCACGAGAAAGCACACGGCATCAATTTTAATCCTGATGGGTTGTTGGCGGACGCAGACCTCCGAGGGCAGGTCGGCCCTGTTTCGTCGCTCCATTTTGATTGGATGCATGTATATTTGTGCAATGGTGTTGCGTCCCAGGAAATGTTTTGCTTCATGTCGGCATGCCAGGCCATTCCTGCTCTGAGGGACATCTATCCGAAGTTGGAACGGTACTGCCAGGCAGACTGGTCTTTCCCCCAGCAACACCGACGCAAGTGTCGGGGGGCCCACGTTGTTTTCTGCAAGGCCAGGGAGAACGCATCCAAGGAGCATTGGCGAAGCAGCGCCTCAGAGTTGTTGTGCATTTACCCGCTGGTGCGGCATTTTGCTTGCATTGTTATCTTGCCGAATTTCGATGAGCTGCGCGACGAAGTTGCCTCCCTCTGCCATTGTTTCGCTGTAATTGACAAAATTCAACGGGCGAAGGCGGGCGACATCGATGCCTCGGCCCTCGGAGCTGCAGTTGATCGCCACGCGGACGCACATGAAAAAGCATACGGGGCCGACAATTGGAAACCAAAGTTTCATTTGGCGACGCACATTCCCGAGCAAGTGGAGAAATTCGACGTTGTGTTGGATTGCTTCGTTGTTGAGAGGTCGCACCTTCTGCCGAAAATGATTCTGGACAACCAAGATATACTGAAAGGCTTCGAGAAAGCTGCAATTTCTCGCGTGCTGTTGGCGCGCCTGCAGGAGCTCGAAAGTTTCGACGAGCGCCCAGGGCTCAGGGGGGGCGATGCGGAGTTGTCGCCCCTGCTGGCTGAAGCAGTCGGCGGCGACGTCGTCCTTTCATCCAGCGCTGCTTTCAAAGGCTTGCTTGTTTGGGCAGGCGACGTGGTGCGCATGCAGAACAATTTTCTATGCGTCGCAGCTCTGGGCCAACGGGGGGACGATCTATTCATTCTTGGGCACGAGTGCGTCGTGATCGAGAAGCGGACGCCGAACGCGTCAGTCCTGCGGAAGGACGGCGAATTGCTTCTTGCGTGGTGGAGCGGCGAATCGGTTGAGATGTGCCACGCTTGGTCGGAGCTCGCCTCTGGCGACATTCTTGCTTTGCACTGAGCGGAAAACAACATCTGCCAGGACAGCGATTGAATCGCTCATCAAAAAAACATTAGCGATTGAATCGCTCATCCTCCTCCACTCCGCATCTTTCTTCGGTCTGCGATCCTGCAGCGATTGAATCGCTCATCCTCCTCGCAATCCGCCTCTTTCTTCGGTCTGCGATCCGAAGCCTCAGCAGCCACGCGGCGTCGGGGGGATGGGGGTACGCGGGGGAGGAGGGGGGAGAGGGGAATGATAATGTGCGATATGTACAATTCGAGGGTTGCAAAGGAGCCCAAATTTAACTTATTTCAGACAGTTGCAAGTAGTTTACAAGTTATTTGTAACTTTGATAAGTTCTTTGGCCTGCAACTTACAACTCGCAGTTACGATAGTCACATCCCTGGGTATCTTGGGCAGCTGCAATTACAAGTGGTAAACAATGCAACCATCTATGCTAACATCAAGTTGGGTAGTTGCATGTTAGTTCTTCAGATGACCTTAGCTATGTATCAACTTACACCATGCTGTAACCAAAGCTGGCCAGCTTCAAGTTTTCTAACCCAAAGTCGCTACGCCAGTGACCTGGCTGGGAATTCAGCGAACCCGGCCGGTAATTGCGCGAGATCGGGCAGTGGCCCGGATGGAAATTTTGCGCACGCGGCGGGCCCCGCAGCCGGGAATGTCGCGGGTTAACCGCAGGAGGTCCCCCCCCCCCCGCCCCCCCGATTTCCTCGGGGCGAAAACATAACCCCGATGCCCCTGGCCCGCACCCCGTGGATTCTTTTCCCGTGATTAGCCGTTTGGGCGAAATCCTCTTCGCGTTTGCACCCTTGGCCCACTATTGGTCGTCCGCTGGTCACAGCAAGCCGCGGCAGCCGGCGCAGGAAAGCCATGGCGCGCTGATGGCCATGCACTTAACAGCTCGTGGAAAACCATTGGGCCCCGCGCATTTGTTAAGTGTCTGGCCAGAGAACTACATTTCAAATCTGGTTTTCCCTTAGGGTTTTCGCGTTCACACCGACGACAAACGCGCGGGAACCAAAGTGCGCAGCGCGCGCGATTTTGCGCTGCGCACTATGGTTTCCACTTGTATGGTCATCTGTTGGGACGAGAATTAAATTGCGCATCGTTTGGTTTTCGCGTTCACATCGTTCACAAATTTATGGGGCGAAACCGTTGTGCGCACCGAAACGTCGCGCGCGCGACCTTGCGCTGCGCGCTGGCTTTCCCGCGCAATTATCAACTGCATGGCCATCTGTTGGGGCCAGAGAAATATTGTTTACATGATGCATTCCCGATTTGGACTTCGAGTTCGCATGCGTGGGAAGCCATAGTGCGCAGCGCAAGGTCGCGCGCGCGCGTCTTTGCGCTGCGCACTGTGGTTTTCCACGCATTTGCTAATCGTGTGGCCATCTCCTGGATTCAGAGAACTAAATTTTGCTTAGGGTTTCCCCTATTGATTTTCAGGCTGACATCGTTGACACATGCGTAGAAAACCACAGTGCGCAGCGCAAGGGCGCGCGCGCGCGACCTTGAGCTGCGCAATATAATTCCCCGCTCATTGTCCAACGCGCGCGCGCGACTTTGCGGCGCGCGCTGCGGTTTCCAACGCATTTGTCCATTGTACGGCGAGTCCTTGGGGCCAGAGAATTCAGTTTCACATTTGGTTTCCCCGCGCGCGCGCGTGGTGAGTTTTGGATTGCCCCCCATAAGCAGATCGCTTTGTGCAGCCAAAGACTGAATTTATTTTTGCCTGTGAAGTAGTAAGGGGGCCGACGGAGGCGCGCAGTTCTGCATAAGATTGTGGGCAATACAGAACTCCCTACGCGCGCGCGTGGTGAGTTCTTTAGTGTCCACATACATAACTACGCGCTCCCCTCGGCCTCCTTACAGCTTCACAGAAAAGTCCAATTCAATTTTTGGATTTACCGGGCGATCTTTTTATTGTGGACAATACAGAACTCACCACGCGCGCGCGCCGCGGCGCGGGCGCGTGTAGGAAGTTCTGGATCGCCCACAATACGAAGATCGCCTTGCAAATCCAAAAACTGAATTGAACTTGTCTGTGAAGCTTTCTGGAGGCCGACGGAGGCGCGCACAGTGAGCGCCTTGAGTAAGGAACACTTACTTTTCAAAAGGGGCTCGGACGTTCCTTAGGTTTGCATGCGTTCCGCTGCCTTTTTGGCGGCGAGCCCCCCCGGTGTTCCTTGCGATTTTGGACGCGCGGGTTCGTTTTGTCGATCGGGGCGGACGGTCTAAGGAACGGGGCTCCACGGGGGGGCTCGGTTCCTTGCGCTTGCTCGACGTAATGCGACGGCGGTCGCGTATAAGCCCTGCGCCTCTCCGGGGCCTTCCCTTTCTTTGCGGGGCGCGCGCTGGAGCTTTCGCCCGTTCCGCGCGCCAGGGCGCGGGGCATTGAGGCCCAGTTCCTCGCAAGGGCCCCCCCGTTCCTTCGGCCACGCGGTTCGGAGCTCATTGGCTCGACATAATTGAACGGTGGCTGCGTTATGGTCCAGCTCCGTTCTCAGGCCCCCCCCGTTCCTTGCGAGCGCGCGCTGGAGTTGTCGCCCCTGCGTGTATCCGCATGCCAAGGTATGGGGCATTGAGGTCCAGTTCCTCGCAAGAGCCCCCCCCGTTCCTTCGGCCACGCGGTTCGGAGCTCACTGGCTCGACATAATTGAACGGTGGTTGCGTTATGGTCCAGCTCCAATCTCGGGCCCCCCCGTTGTCGCCCCTGCATGTATCCGCATGCCGAGGTGGGGGCATTAGTTCCTTATGTCACACCTTAGGTGAAGACCTTCACTGTACGCCTGCATACTCATTTTGTGCTTTGCATCCGTGGGTTTTCATATTTCTGAAACACGTGGCCGCCCAAGGCCTTTGCACTTGGCCACCCCTGGGGGCGCGAAGATTATTGCGCCTCGCGCGTCGCGGCCCGGGCAGGAGAGCCGCCCTTGTCCAGGGCGGCGGCGCAGGGGCGCGAAGTTCGCCGCGCGTCGCGCGTCGCGGGGCGCGATAATCCTCGCCTATCTACAAGTTTGTACACGTAAGGCTCCGCGTGCGCCGGTTGGTTGGTTAAGTCAAGTGTGTTGGTTGGCTGGTGCGCCGGCTGGTAGGCAGGTTGGCTGGTTGAAAAGCCGTTTAAGGAGGCCGACGGAGGCCGGGTCACCCGCGCGCGCGCGTGGGGAGTTCTGCATTGTCTACAATATAAAAGTCGACATGTCATTCCCGAAACTAAATCTGATTTTTTCTGGAGCCCTTTAAGGAGGCCGACGGAGGCCGGGTCACCGGCGCTTGCGCGCGCTGGAGAATTCTGCATTGTCCAGAATATAGAAGTCGACATGTTATTCCCGAAACTAAATCTGAATTTTTCTTGAGCCTTTTCAGGGTGCCGACGGAGGCTGGGTCACCGGCGCTCGTGCGCGCGGGATAGTTCTGCATTGTCCAGAATATACAAGTCGACATGTAAGTGCCGCGTTTGAACATGTTTTTTTTTTTTTTTTTTTATTTTGTTCTGTTCTGGAGCCCTTTGAGGAGGCCGACGGAAGCCGGGTCACCCGCGCGCGCGCGTGGGGAGTTCTGCATTGTCTACAATATAAAAGTCGACATGTTATTCCCGAAACTAAATCTGATTTTTTCTGGAGCTCTTTAAGGAGGCCGACGGAGGCCGGGTCACCGGCGTTCGCGCGCGCTGGAGAGTTCTGCATTGTTCAGAATATAAAAATCAACATGTTATTCCCAAAACTAAATCTGAATTTTTCTGGAGCCCTTCAAGGAGGCCGACGGAGGCTGGGTCACCAGCGCTCGCGCGCGCGGGATAATTCTGCATTTTCCAGAATATAGAATCGACATATAAGTGCCGCAACTGAAAATGAATTTTTCTGGAGCCCGGAGGCCGGGTCACGGCCGTTCTTCGGCCAATGCTCCTCCCGCTTGCGCGGCGGTTAAGTTCGCGCTTCTCCAGGCCGCGCGCTGCTTTGTATAATGAGTACGTTTCTCAGTCCCGCACGTTAAGCTCCAAGCCCAACATGCGCGCGGATATTGTGGGGAAGCCGTCTGGCGGTCCAGAAAGCAACATCGCTTGCGGACCCGCGCGTTTGAGACGATGAAGCCTTTGCACTACGGGAAAGGGGGGGCGGTGGCGGAAGCTCCAGCGGCATGGGGGCCCTTTCGCGGCGCGGAAGTGCGCGTCGGCATTCGACAATTCTCCTTGCGGCACCCGTGGGGCGCGGAGCCCGTTCGGGTGCGTTTCCGGGCTGGCTGCTGGGCAATATACCGCGATCCGTTTTCTTTGTTTCCATTTACAGATGATATTGTATATATATATATATATATATAGAAAGAGAGAGAGAGAGAGAGAGAGAGAGATGTTTGCGCTGCCGTCAATTATGTTAGCCGCGCCCTGGTCTAGCTTGTACCCGTCGCGACTCAAAAGTTTGGCTCGCTACGTGC